ATAAAGTTTCAAGACAAAAGGACTGAAAACTATAAAATTTCAGAACAAAAATAAAAAAAGGTCAAAAAAGAATTAGAATGAAGAAATAAATTAGTTTTAGAGCAAAAAGAACTAAAACGGAAAAAAATAAAGTTTCAAGAAAGAAATTATAAAAAAGCTTAAAAAGGCTCCAAAATAAAGAAATAACTAAGTTCTAAAGCAAAGAGAACAAGAAAAGAAAAAAAAAATTTGGGCAAGAATAAAAAAATAAAAAATAAAAATGAATGAGTAGGTAACTTGTAGGATAAAAAGTAAAAAAGTAAATAAAATGAAAGAATTAAAAAAAAAAAAAGGAGAAACGAGTGCATTTCGACCAAAATGTTGTCGTTTTTGTCAAAACGCATAAAAATTATCATATATTGACACTTCATAGATAGATAAATAGATTATGTAATATATTATATGATCCACAAGATATGTGAATAGTGTGATTATAATATATTTTAGTGTCCACAAAATAGAATTATTAATATTTTTTCTTAGTGTACCCTATACTCTATGAGTCATCATTAATTATTGGGGCATGATTCTAACAAAATCATAAGCATTATGGGGATAGTTTTGTAATAGAATTGAAAAGAATCATCTATTAATAGAATAGAGTTTTAAATTATCAGACAAATAAAATCATATCAAATTAAAAAAAAAAAAACATGAAAAAAATGAACAAAACTAATGTAAAGTGGATGGTTTAGAATTGAATACTACGGATTAAATATTTTCTTCCATATCCTACAATTATGTTTCATCTTATAGGCTTTGGTTTTTAATTATAGCCTGCCTATGTATTCCTTTCCTTGTCATTCCTCGCTTCACCTGGCAAAAGCCGAAACCCAAAGCCAAAAAGTAAAAGCAGAGACTGATAACAAAAGTGGATTTCTTTTCCTTATGTTAAGCAAGCATCTAATAATCAAACAACCACATGTATAACACCACTTGCAATGGCTCTTTTATCATAATTGGCGCAACGAAAAGTAAGGAATATACTACAACTCAACAGATGGAAATAATAATGAATATGCTCGGAAAAATGGGATAAATTCCATTTCGTAGTATTGTATATTTATGATTTTTTATTTGTAAAGTGGGAAAGAAACAAAGATTATGATTGGAAGACTCTTAACCAAGTCAATAAACTCCCACGAGTGGAGAAGAATATTAGAACCTGACATAATGCCCCAATATTACAACCACTAAAGATTCTATTTTCAAAACGTTCAAAGGAACAAAGATCGCTAGCTATGGAGAGTATCAAACAGCAATGACGAACATAAAACCAATTGTTTATATTATAATAGGATAACAACAAAATTTTTCTCCCTATTTAATTGGATGTGATAATACGCAATATCGTTTTAAAAAAAAAAAGAAAAACCAACATTATCTTTTATTTTTTATAATCATAGAATAGAAAATTTATCTCTATATATCAATTAAACTTTTTTTCATGTACAAAAATTGGTTCATTTGATTTAAAAAATAACACCTATATCAAGAATCAATAATAATAAATTATTTTGAAAAAAAATTAAAAATTAAAAATTGAAAAGTAAAAGTTCTCTATTATAGAATTATTATTTTTTATGAAGCTCAGTGAGTGCGAATCAATCTTACGTTATACTAGCAACCACATATTTTTATTTGATCAGAAAACTGTGTTTGTAAAAACACCGAACGATGGTTCACACCACCCTCTATCTTGTGTAGAGTTTCAGACTATGTTTGGTATGAATGAAAAGTGGAAGGAAAGAAAATATTGGAGAGATTTTATGATGAAAATAGGTAAATTAGTTTGTTTGGTAGAAAGGAAATTAGGAAGGAAAAGAAAATTGAATGGAAATTGTGATTGGTGAGTCCTAGCATATTTAATCTCACCAAAAGTGGGAGAATTTTAGGAAGAAAAATGTGGATAACTACCTAAATTACTAAATTATCCGCATTTTTTATCTGGCTCTAAAAGTTGGCGCTTTTTTTTTTTTGCTAGAAAGAAGAGATAAATGGGCTTTCTCTCTCCACTCAGCACACCTTTCACACGGAAAAAACTTCATTCTATGGCAGAAGATTGAAGGTAGTTCTATTATTGTTCAAGATTGAAGGTACATGGTCTAAACTTCAATTTTAAAATTAGTTTTGTGAATGAATCTCTCACTCCCATGCTTCTTCTTGTTTTGTTCTCTCTTTTTTTTTTTTTACAATTTACTTGTCCAATTTTTTTTTTTTTTGCTTCTCTAATATCAACGTTGTTTGTTATTTAAGAAGTTCTAGTGATTTTTTTAGGGATTGAATTAGCTAAATGGTAATTTGGGAAGCTCTCTAATGGATTCTATGGTTGTGCGTGATTTCACTGTCGTTTGCCCCCATTGATATATCTCTGCAGGTTATTACCTTGGCTCCATGACTCTCGTTTTGATTGTCGTTTTAGACCCCTATTGTGCTTGCTGATGTTTTGGGCCCCATGTTGTGCTGTATGTTTTAGGGGATAAGAAAGATGGAGGAAATTGATAAAGCGAAGCTTCTTTTTCCAGATAATCATATAGTTGTAACCCTAATAAATAGATTCAAAGATGGTTGGTATAGTGTAAACAATAGCACGAGAGGTTTTTCTTTTTTTCTTTTTTTTTAACTATATATCTTCAATTTTAATCTGCATCCCTAAATACATTTTCCAGGAGGAACATAGTTGGAGCATAAAAATGGAACAACGGAAAAGGGGTTGAACGGTGGGAGAGAAGCAAACGAACAGGAAGTAAACTTTGGACTTTTTTGGTAATTGTACGTGTATAAGTGGGATACATTGTCCATGTGTCAACATATAATGGATTTATGAAATGTTAATGAATGCTATATTATGTTTCTATTTAGTTTTATTATATATTCAATGTCTCTTAAATGTGCAACTTGTAAACATGGCTAAGAAATCAAAGAAAGATAACATTGATGGTGAAGAATCACGAAAGGATAACATAAGGTGGTCAGAGGACATGGATGTTGTGTTGATCGATGCATTGTTAGAGCAACAAGTGAATGGAAATAGGGTTGATGGAACTTTTACTACTACTGCATGTAATAATGTTTTGACAATTTGTCGAGATGAGCTCAAATACCCTTTTAATAAGGATCATCTAAAAAATCAAATCAAGACTTTAAAAACTAATTTTTATACATGTCATGAATTGTTCAAAGGCTTAAGTGGTTTTGGTTGGAGTCCATTAACTAAGATGTTTGAAGCAGAGCCAGAAGTGTGGAAGACTCATTGAGGTTTGTGTTTTATGTTTAAAATTTATGTTTACATTTTCTGTTATATATAAGCTTTTATACTATACATGTTATAAGTATTTTTATCATTCTTGGTGTAAATTTATAGGCTAAACCTAATGCAGAGAAATGGAGGCACACTGAGATTAATTATTACGACAAATTAAGTGAGCTTTTTGCAAATGATAGAGCTAATGGTCAAGCTGCTGCTAGTGCAAAAGAGAAAGTTCGACAATGGAGAGGGAAACTAGCTCCAACCAATCTGCCAGTGTTGAACAATTTGATGAGGTAATTATTGATACTGTTGAGCCCTTAGTCCCACAGAATAATTCTCAAGTTACAAATGCATCCAAAGGTGTAAAAAGAAAAGCTTCCATGATTGATTTACTTGACAATCATATTGGAATGCTTCACTCTAGCATGAGTAATGTGGCTGATGCAATTAGAGAGGGCAATGTTATTGCTGAAAAAGCACAACCACGTATCTATTCCAAAGAAGAAGTGTATGCTGAAGTAATGAACATTGGAGTTCCTGATAATCTTCAATTGGAAGCTTTTCTTTTTTTAATTAAAAGTGCATCACAAAAGTGAGCTTTCTTTGCAGTTCCAAATCATCATCGCTATGAGTTGCTCTTGAAGATGATGTACAACAATGAAGACTGATATCATATGGTTTAGAAATTTAGTACTCACACCAGTTTATAACCCTTTTGGAAAAATATTTACATGGTACTTAGTTGATCACACGTGGTTTTTGTTGATACTTGACTGCAGGTGAATATTGAGAAATATATATGACCATACAAACTAATACTTTTGTGGAAAATTTTGCTTACTTTACAATAGTGGATGCATAGTATACTAGTCACTTTTTTATTGTATTTGAACCTTCAACAAGTTGTTGTATTTAAACTGTAGCTAGCTACTCTTTTGTTGTATTTAAACGTTAAAAAAATTACTGATGCATTAATACTATATAAGTTACATAATATACATAAGATAGATGGAATATATGTTCAAGTTACATGAATTTTTTGAGTTAATTTGATGTTAAATACTGTATTATTTATACTTTTATTAGAAAAGAATATTAATAAAAAAATATTTTGGTAAAAAAGTAATGACACAAATAATAATTTTTTCATCTCTTTAGTTTCACTTCCAATACCAAACAATAGAAGGTAGAATCATTTTCTTTTTTCCCTATCATACCAAGCAAGTCAGGAAAAAATTAAAATCTTTTCTATCCTTTTAATTTTCTATACATTATAGTCTTTCTTTCCTTTCTATTTTATTTTCCTCTTACTAAACATAGCATAAGTCTCCAACAACAACTAAAAGAAACTACTTGTTTTTTTGAAAAATATAAAACATTTTACAATATAGAGAAATAGACTCATTGATTTAATTAATATCAATAAACACAGGATAATTTTTTGTTATTCTCCCGATCACAATTTGCAAAATAACAAAAATGGTTTTCATTCTCATGGGAATATTACTCACAAAATAACAAGTCTCATTCAGTTAGAATATGTGTTTAATGAAACACATTTTATGTTCACGTGAGTAGTAAAATTTTAACCCGATACAGAATGAATAGGAGTGCACACAAAACAAAAGCATGATAAAGCTGTGCATTGCTTTTCAACACTAGCTAGGGCCACAAAAGCTCACCCGCAGTCTCATATGGTCCCCAAAACCTTATAATATAGAGACGAGCAACAAAGCCATGTCCACAAACACAAATACGGACATAACATAATAATAATGTGTGGATCTAAACTCCAACTTGGCTCCTCTTCTCTCAACTCTCTCGCTCCTTCCAATTCCAAATCCCAACCAAGAGATGTTCGCGGAACAATTTAAAGGTCATCATATTACATTATCACTCATACTAAACTTTCACTTCCCCAACCAAACCGGATCTATTATCCGTACTTCTCTATTCTCTTCCCTCAAAAAAACCAACAACACAAACCAAACATGTCTCTAACCATTAAACTTCCCGTTTTTTCTTCCCATCACCATAATCTCAACAATCTCAAATTCAACAAAACTAAGCTTGCCCTTTACAACGCCAAATTCAATAAACCAAAACCCACGAACCCGTTGGTTTCTTCTATCCTCTACGCCAAGCCCACAATGTACTCGCTTTCCCACCCGGCTAATCAGATCAGGAGCTCCCTGATCGACCCCGACGGTGGGTCCCTCGTGGATCTCGTGGTGCCAGAGAGCGAGCGGGCGAAGAGAGTATTGGAAGCGGAGGCTCTGCCGAAGGTGAAGCTGACGAAGATTGATGTGGAGTGGGTCCACGTCATCAGCGAGGGGTGGGCCAGCCCCCTCAGGGGGTTCATGAGGGAGGACGAGTACTTGCAGAGTCTGCACTTCAATTCCTTGAGGACGAAGAACGATGGCACGATCGTAAATATGTCGCTTCCCATTGTGCTCGCCATCGACGACGAGGACAAGGACCGAATTGGGCAGTCGAACAATGTCGCCTTGGTGGGCCCGACTGGAGATTTGATTGCTATTCTTCGCAGGTTGGTCTCTGTCAAAGATGGATTAAATTATGTTATAAATAAATGTATTTTTAATTCTTCTGTTCATGTTTCTTTGATTGTTTATTTAATTGATGCGCATGTGACATGACATCTATGATAATATATGTGTGTTTTTTTTCTTCTTGTTCCGAGGAAGAATGTTTTGGGAATTCGATTTGACTATTTGGGTTTTGGTGTATTTTCTGTTGAGAATTAGATTTAGGAAGTGGTTTTATGATTTTAAAATTCAGAGGGATTACATTGTTTGGCGTTGCAACCTTTGGTCTAGTTTGGACTAATAATTTAGTATTGGGCATGGCATAAAATGAAATTTCAGTTTAGTTTAATTTGTATTAGGAAAGGAATAATACGATTGTTTAGAGTACTTCTATATTTTATGACGATGATTGTTCTAGCTTGATCGTGTTCACAGTTTGTTTGAGAACAAAATTCTTGGAAAAAAGAATTGAGTAAGTCTTTCATTGACATAATTTTTTACTAATAAAGCCTTGGTTTTAACTGATAATTATAATACTGCGTATTTGACAATGTTGGTTGCTGCTATATTATGCTAAATTGTTGTCTGCACCAGTCTGATGTTGAAAACCTTTTCTCTTCTCCAAATTGCTGCTGTTTTTTCCCCTTCTTAAATACTCTTATATGTGGCAGCATTGAAATATACAAGCATAACAAAGAAGAAAGAATAGCGAGAACTTGGGGGACAACGGCCCCAGGGTTGCCGTATGTTGAGGAGGTTATTACTTCTGCTGGAAATTGGCTTATTGGTGGAGATTTGGAAGTGTTACAGCCCATAAAATACAATGACGGCCTCGATCACTACAGGCTTTCTCCTCAACAACTCCGGAAAGAGTTTGATAAGCGTCAGGCTGATGCAGTTTTCGCTTTTCAGTTGAGGAATCCCGTCCATAATGGCCATGCTTTGTTGATGAATGATACGCGCAGACGGCTTTTAGAGATGGGCTACAAGAACCCGATACTATTGCTTCATCCTTTGGGAGGTTTCACAAAGGCTGATGATGTTCCCCTGGATGTTCGGATGGACCAACATAGCAAGGTTATTTCCATCGATTTCATCTAACAAATTGTTTTGTGCATAAAAAGTAATAGCATTCGGGTTTTCTTCTATTAGAACTAGAACGAGTAAATTTGATGTTGCTGAGCAGGAGGTAATAGTAACATGCATTTTAGTATTATGGTGGCGTGTGAAAATTGCCATCTTTTAGCTTACCTGTTCAAGTACTCTGTAAATTGCATTCTGGTCCAGGTTCATGGCTTTTGCTAAACGTTGTTTCTTTTCAGGTCCTGGAAGATGGAGTTCTTGACCCTGAAACGACCATTGTGGCTATATTCCCGTCGCCAATGCATTACGCAGGCCCAACTGAGGTTCAATGGCATGCTAAGGCACGGATAAATGCCGGCGCAAACTTTTACATCGTGGGTCGTGATCCTGCTGGTATGGGCCACCCAACAGAAAAGAGGGATTTGTATGACCCTGATCATGGTAAAAAGGTTTTGAGCATGGCTCCTGGCCTTGAGAAGCTAAATATTTTGCCATTCAGAGTAAGTCAAAGAATCCAATCCATCTATCTCTATGTTCGGAGCTCTAAATTCTTCTTCTTCTACTCTATCATACACGGTGCTAAAATCCAATAGTTGCTAATCAAATACATAATAACTTCTTAGCACCCATTGAAGTCTTTTGCATATGAACTGTTCTTCCATCAAATGAGCTGGTTACATCTGATATTCTATGTAAACTAATATCCTGTCGTCGTTTTGTTGGACGTGCCAACTAACCTTCTTCCTTAATCATAAACTGCAGGTTGCAGCATACGATACTGTACAAAAGAAGATGGCATTTTTTGATCCTTCACGTGCTAAAGATTTCCTCTTCATCTCCGGAACCAAGGTAAAAACACTTGCTATTTCATTTCCTGGAATCAGTTACACAAACCACAAGAAATTTCTAACAACATTATTTGCTTCTGAACATCTCTACAACTCTGAAATTTTCACTTATAATACGTCTTTGACTGTCGGTCTACAAGAGAATAGTCGAATACTACGATGAATATTTTTTTTTTCTTGAAATTGTAATTTGTAAGGCTCTCTAATCTGGTGCTCTTCTTCTTTCAGATGCGGAATTATGCAAGGACCGGCGAGAACCCGCCCGATGGTTTCATGTGCCCCGGAGGATGGAAGGTCCTCGTCAACTATTACCAGAGCTTGCAAGCAGAAGAGGCATCACAACAGGCAGCAGTTTTATCTGCTTAGTTAAAACTAGAGTTTCTATTTTATCAGGAGAGTCTAAAAGTGGTCAACTGAAGCACCATTTTACGTTTTGCCCCAAGCTAGATTATATGACCGAGCATGTGCTAGGGTACTACTTTGTTGTTAGGATTTGATTTCTAATTAAACCAGGTCGTATTTGCTAATGCTTGTAAAAAAAAAATATTGAATTCTTTTGATGGTTCATTTTTGTGACGGGAATTTATTTATGCAATGAAATTGAAGTTAATTCGTATTTTCCTCGTGCTGTCTTTTTGTTATTCTTAAAATGTTATATTTTGGCTCCCTTCTCGTAAATTTTTTATGTAGTGTTAATTAAAAAGGTATGTTATATAAGTGGTATGCTATTCGTGGCAGAGAGACTTTAAACGTAGAGAAAATTATAAAAAATGTGCATCTATTGACACTTTTTTTTTTTTAACTTTTCACACACATTCATAAATCACTCGTATTCCACTTGTTACAATCCTTTTAAAATTTCAAAAAAGCTCTAACAATTAAATGACTACTTTTTACACAAACGTTGTATTTGTTAAACAAATTGAGGGAAAAAAGACTGATAAGTTTCCTATTGATTTTCATGAATTCATTAAATACACCAGAACATAAGGTTTATACAGACTAGTAAAATAAATGTAAAGACCAAACTACCCTTACTAAAGTTAATAATAAAATAATCTCCCACCAAACTACCCTTACTAAAGATAATAATAAAATAATCCCCTCCCCCGGCAACAAGCATTGAGAGTTTGCCAAACAAAGAACGAAAACGTGAAGTGGAGTACGACTTTGTAAACAAATCGAGTATTTGCATATTCGAAGGAATAAAGGGCAATGTGAGAGTGCCAACTTGAATATGATGCTGAGTAATGTGACAATCAATCTCAATGCTTGGTCCACTCATGAAAAATTGAATTTCGTGCAATCTGAACAACACTCTTGTTGTCATAATACAACAGAGTAGGTCGATGAAGAAAAACATTACTCTGCTTCTATAGACAATCTAGAAATGACATCTTGTCCTTGCTTTTCCAAGAGATGAGAGAATCACCCAGAAACACACAGAAGCCAGTGGTGGATTTGTGATCCGTATGGTCACCAGCCCAATCAACATCAGAGTATGCACGCAGTTCTAACGATGAAGTAGATAGAAGTAAAAGACTTTGAAACTGAGTACCACAGAGATACCTTAAAATACGAAGAACAACAGCCTAATGGATAGTAGTAGGCGAAGTAACAAACTGACTAACCACATGAACAACATGTGCAATATTTGGACGAGTGATGGTGAGATAAACCAGGCTACCAACAACAGTACGCTATAAGGTAGGATCAAACAAAGGAGAACCATCAGAAAAAGAATACTGAGCATTGAGCTCAAGAGGTGTACCAATAGTCTTATTAATTGTAAGACGAACACTCTCAAATATGTTAGCTATATACTTAGACTGAGACAAAAGGTAACCTTTTGGAGAGGAAGCAACCTCAATACCCAGGAAGTAACGTAGCGGGCCCAAATCCTTCATTGCAAAACAACGAGCCAACTCTGACTTCAGTATTGCAATCCGATCAACATCATCACTAGTAATAATCATATCATCCACATACAAAGAATGCAGAACTCATCCAGCTATGGTACTTTTGAGAAATAAAGCTGAATCATGATGGCTAGGATGGAAGCCGGGATAGGATGGAAGCCAAGTGAAGTAATCACTGTAGAAAACTTATCAAACCATGCCCGAGGTACTTGCTTAAGACTGTAAAGAGCTTTCTATGCCTACAAACTTCACCAGGTTGATGAGGAACCCCTGGAGGGGGTACCATGTAGACTTCTTCTTGTAGGTTGCCATTCAAGAAGGCATTTTTAACACCCATCTGAGATATGGGCCAATGACGAAGGAAGCAATTGTAATGAGGGTGCGAACTGTAGTCATCTTTGTAACTTGGGCAAAAGTCTCCTCATAATCCATGCCATAAACTGGGAATACCCCTTAGCAACCAACTGAGCTTTGTATCTTTCAATAGACCCATCAGGCTTGGTTTTGATTTTATAAACCCAACGAGAACTAATTGCTCATTTACCTAGTGGAAGTGGTACTAAATCCCAAGTGTGTGTCTAGTTCATCGCAATAAGTTCTTCAGCCATAGCTTGTTGCCAAAAAGGATCAATAACTGCGTCTTTAAAGGACAAAAGCTAAGAAAGACGATGAATAGATGCTAAAAAATACGTAAAATAACTAGAATAACAAGAGTAAGCAAAATCTGAAAGCTTAGTGGACTTATGAGTACGTACAGGATGAGCAGGAGGATGAACCATAGTCTAAGGAGGTGCTTGGGCAGCCACAGGGGGAGAGGGAACAACAAGTATATCAAAAGCTAAGGTACCAGTCGTTGAACTATCAACGAAAGATCTACAAAAATCAGGATCTAAAGGCGGAATGGGTGTGTGTGAAACAAGGGTGTAACAACCTCAGTATCAAGAATAAAATGATCAATATTGAATAAGATCAGACTTAGTCATGTTATAAGAACTAGTGGCAATGGAAAAGAAAGGCATATGCTCAAGAAACTTAACATGACGGGAGACATATAATTTTTGACTAACTGGATCAAAGCAACGATATCCCTTTTGACCAGCACCATAACCCAGAAAGACACATGTAACAGACTGTGCAAACAATTTATTACGCTGGACAGGAGGTAAAAGGACAAAATAGGTAGATCTAAAGACACGCAAGGATGAGTAATCAGGAGCATGACCATACAACTTCTCAAAAGGTCACAAACCTGAATTGTGTTAGGTAGGAATCCTATTAATTAAATGAGCAGCAACAAGAATTGCTTCTCCCTAAAATTCACTAGGAACATAGGTGAATAATAAAAGTGAACGAGCAGTCTCAACGAGATGCCTATGTTTCCTTTCAGCAACACCTTTTGCTTTGGAGTATCTGTTCAAGAAGTTTGGTAAACAGTTCCATCTAAAGCAAAGAATTCAGAAAAATCATTAAAGGTATACTCCCCACCCAAATCACATCAAAAACACTTAATAACATCTGAATGTTAAGTCTTGACAAGAGCTCGAAAAGCATGGAAAATACTTAAGAATTCAGAACGACGCTTCATGAGATAAACTAAGTAATAACGAGTGCAATCATCAACAAAAGAAACATAATATCTCAACCCCCTCTCCTTTGTGGCTATAGGAGAAGGTCCCCACACATCGGAATGGACAAGATGAAATGGTGCAAGAGAAAAAGAAATACTTTTATTAAAAGGTAAAGCAGAAAACTTGGCTAATTTGCAACCACTACAATAAGAAATATCATGAGATTTCAAATTTCCTAATGCTCCTGTACTAGCTAAAACTGTAAATGCGATGCTAAAACATGACCTAGACAAGAATGCTGCAAATAAAAATATGAAGAGGAACGACTCAAGCGAAATGATGACAAATCAACACTGGAAGCTGCAACTTCTAGTATTTTGAGCTTATCCAAAACATAAAGTCCCCCTTGCCTATGGCTGGTCCCAATTTATTTATGAGATTCCAGGTCCTGCACATAACAAGCAGTAGAAGAAAAGAAAACTAAAAATCCAGATTCACATAATTGGCTAACATAAACAAGATTCAAAGTAAGATTAGGAATCTGGTAGACATCAGGGAGAGACAAACTAGGTGTGACATAGAAGAGTTAAGAGACAAAGAGACAAAGGAGGACAAATCAGGTGACATAAGATGAGACGCACCTGAGTCTAAAGACCCACAAGAAAGAGATACCTGAAGAGCTAGAAGATGACAGACCTATATGAGAGGAGGTAGACATGGCATGCAGTTGTGTGGCAAGAAACTTCTGAAACTGCTTAAGCATAAAAGAGTCCAATGATGGTGCAACCACGGTAGAATAAGGCGGAGGTGGCTTGTACGTCCACTGCAACGATTGGTTGCCAGGCTTCCATTGAGAAGAAACATGCGATGATTGTGGAGATGACTGTTGCTGTTGTTGAGGGTGTTGCAGTTGTTGGTGGGACTGTTGTTGTTGTTGTTTGGCTCTATTCAACAATGTGGGACACTAAGTGGACGTTTGGTTCATAGATTCAGAATCATGATTCAAAATAATTCTCATTTTACGTGTATTTTTTGTAAGAGAAAAACACTATAGAGAACTATAAATCATGAAATCAGAGACAAATACAGGAAATAAACATCCTTTAAGCCTTCCAATGACCCTTCTGCTTGCAGAAACTACATTTATCATGAGCAACCTTTGAGTTCGACCTATTTTGATTACTAGGAGGTGGTTGTTGAGCTGTGGCAAAAACTGAAGGATTGGAAGCAATCCCTTTCCCTACTTGAGACTTAAGACATATCTCATATGCCAAAAATTCACTAACCACTGCATCCATGGAAGGAAGTGGGCTGCGATGCAAAATAGACCCACGCAACCCCTCAAAATCATCACCAAGAGCCATCAAAAATAGGACTAGTCATTGTTCTTCTCTTCGGGCAATGTATGGAGCAAACGCCCGTAACTCTGCGGATTCTGTAAGTGCCAACTAGTCCCATAGGTCGGACACAATAGAATAAATTCCTAAATAGTCATATTTTTCTGTCGAAGAGCACAAATATCAATCTCTAATTGGTATTATTTTGCAAAATTAGACTGTGTAAACAGTCTTGCAAGATGCTCCTAAACCTCCTTGGCAGTCTTATATTTTGCTAGTTAACTGCCAATCGAATGCACGACTGAATTATTAATCCAGGTAATAATCTTTACATTATTTGCTTCCCCAGCATCTAATTTCGCTACATAATCTATAGCCTTTTGATCTGTAGGTCTAACATAAGTGCTTGTAATGTAACCCCGCATCTTTTTGCCTCTTAAAAAATTCTTCATCACATAACTCTAGTATGAATAATTTTTTCCGTCTAATTGTACACTAAGACTATGTTTGGTATGAATGAAAAGTGGAAGTAAAGAAAATGTTGGAGGGATTTTAGGATAGAAATTGGTAAATTAGCTTGTTTGGTAGAAAGGAAATTGGGAAGAAAAAGAAAATTGAATGGAAATTGTGATTGGTGGGTCCCACCATATTTAATCTCTCCAAAAGTGTGAGGATTTTAGGAAGGCAAATGTGGATAACTACCTAAATTACTAAATTATCCTCATTTTTTATCTGGCTCCAAAACTTGACACTTTGTTTTTTTGCTAAAAAAAAGAGATAAATAGGCTTTCTCTC